ATCCTGCAAGCAAAAAAAAAAAAAAAATCAAGGCATATTGTGGGACCTCTACAAACACTGCTTGTCTCTTGGGTTTGGTAGCAGGAAAGTATCTCTTTGAAGTCATTACTTGCACACCAAAAGTTATTATCATTTTTATGGCTTTCTTTAGAAAGGTGGGAGTGAGTCCTGGAGGTCTCAAAACACATTTAAGGAACATTAATTTCCACAGCAAACTAAAAGACTGCTCCTTTGCCTTTATATTACCTTTCATCCATCCTATACCTCACTAAAACTTTGAGACGGACTACATCTGACACTTCCATGTATCAGACATTTACTCAGTTCTTAGACACCATGCACTGCGCTGTGAATGTGTTGGTCCACAGGTGTATCTTGGGCCCCAAAGATGGGGCAACAGCATAAGTACTAAAGCACAATGACTCCTAGCATAAGGTAAGTAATTCTCAGTGTTTGTAGCCTTTTTTTTTTTTTTTTTTTTAAATCAAAGTGGCTCTTTCCCTTAGCTGGGGGGGATCACCAAAGCAGCCAGAAGATTAGAAAAACAAACAAAACAACAAAAAAGACAAAGACAAAAACAAACAAAAAACTGAAAGGACTACCATTTCTAAAGAGGGATAAAAGTCTCCACTTAACTGCAGTATAGCATTCATATGCGAGAGTTGTAAGAGCCTACTATGAATTATTTCACCCAATACTATTTTCCCACAATGCTCTCTTCCTGATCAATTTTACCTAAGAAGCTTATTTCCTCACCATCAGCAATTTCATAGTATTATTTGTATACATTACTTAAATTTAGAATTAACAAGAAAAATGATGCAAAGTGGTGGGAGTGATTATATAAAAAGGTTTAATAAGGCAAAGTTTAGTGTGATTACAGTGACAATGCACAAAGAAATGCAAATAACATGGGTATATGAAACATATGGAAAGTTATTATTTACCATTTTAATCTTTTTATTCCCTCTTCATTATTTCTAGTTTTAAAAATAGTTGGCTCAGTCTAGGCAGTGTGGGTCAATGGTTGAGTGTCCACCCATGCACTAAGAGGTCGCTGGTTTGATTCCTGGTCAGGACACATACCCAGGTTGTGGGCCCAATCCCCAGTGGGGGCATGCAAGAGGCAGCCAACCAATGTTCTCTCTCATCGATGCTTCTGTCTCTCTCCCTCTCCCTTCCTCTCTCTAAAATCAATAAAAGAAAAAAAAAAGTTGGCTCCTTTTCAACATCTGACTTTAACTTAAAAATAATGAACAGAGCAACCACTAACTAGAAACCTATAGACTGCTGGCTAACCAAAACTGTTACCACAGTAAGTCATGCACATGTGAAAGATAGTTATCATTTGAGAATTATAGTTTGTAAACCCGTTATGTGAGTCAGTGTACTAAACCTCTTCTGTGGTGGTCATGTTTGTCAGACTCTCCCTACCATCTAACCACCATGAACCCCTTTTATTACTTTTTTCTCCAGGATGTCAAAGGTTCAACAAATTGCCTTAAGTAAAAACGAATGCTTTATCTGTGTCATTGTTTCCCCATTTCAACACTGATCCCACCTTTAACCAATGATGTAGAATCACACAAAGTTCAGCATTACTGCTCTTAGCATTGTGATGGTGCAAAGATCACCAAGGTACGTAAGCATCAGAGGCTTATGCACTATTCAGTTTTGTTTTTTTCCATTGGCAGTTTACTTCATATTCATATCATGTATGTCCACTGGTAGTATGACCACCTTGTAAGAGCTTTGTCAATGTCTGGTCCACACCCCGTACCACCACCACCCACAGTTTTCTGTAAAGTCACCAGTAGTCACTCAGAAGACCTAACTGTTATTCCTCAGAGTGGAAAATTGCCAGCCAAAAATCAAAGATAAACATGTTTTAGTCAACTGTAAGTTTAATGCTATTAAGCTTTCTCAAATAACTCATGAATAAACCCTTTACTAGCTTTGTGGGCCATTTTAGCCAAGTGAAAACCAACACTGGGGCTCTTCATAGAGGTTCACCAGTCCTATGAGTTAAGTGAGCTCTGACTGGCAAAGTAAGGCTCTTGGTGATTAACTTTCTTCATTTATAAAATGAGGACCTTACAGATCCCAGTTTCTAGGTTTCTAAATTCACAAACTTGGGGTGGTAAACACACAAAACAATATACAGATGACATCTTATAGAATTATATACCTGAAACCTGTATAATTTTATTAACCAATTCAATAAAAAAAATAATTAGCAATATGCATTTCAATGATGACAATTTAAGCTACTCTTTATGAGATGTTTGACTACTTGAAGACACAGAATAAAAGCATACAATAGATTGTAACTTTGCAGTTATCCTGTTATTTCCTATGTATAACACAACTGTATAATTCAAGACTGGCTTGTGCAAATTCACAAGAATATAGTAGAGTTAATTCCCACTTCATTTTGTCCTAGGAGGAAATCTGACTGTCAAGAACTGCTCCCAGCTCCTTTAGCTAGTATGATGGGGGTGGGGGGGAGCATGAGGCACCTTTTGAGTAAGTTTGACTACTTAGGTTATTGTGGGGCGCCCCCCCTAAATAAAAAAAAAAATCACAAAAGTTAATCTAACAGCACTCAGTGCTCTCAACATTCAGAAAAATGTCCAAGCATTCCAAATTATTTTTGAACAGAATATACACAGTACTACTGGGAATGCACCTGTTTGCCAACTCAATTTCTGGAGACAAACATTCTACAGGGATACCTCGTTTTACTGTACTTCGCTTTATTGCACTTCACAGATGTGGTTTGGGGGGCTTTTTTGTTTTGGGGGGGTTGGGTTTTTTTTGGGGGGGGTGTTTTTTTGGTGCAAACTGAAGGCAAGACTCTCCAGCAGCAAAAAGATTATGACTTGCTTTATTGCAGTGGTCTGGAATGGAACCTGCAATATCTCTGAGGTATGCCTGTAATTAAACAGAAATCAGAGAGATCAGCCCTATTTGAACAAACAAGAGAAAGTTTCCTTCATTACCAAAATGCAACAAGTATGTACAGTATAAATTAGCTACTACTAAGTGAATTGTTGCAAAAAATTTTCAAGGATAATATTCCAAACAGGAACAGCATCTTAAAGTCACCAAACATTGTTTAAGTCTTTAACACATTAAAAAGAAGCTTAAATGCAATATAAGTAAAAAAAAGAACTGGAAACTGGATGCTATTCATAAACTTTATATGATCACTTATCACAATATATATGTCAAAAATTACTTAGTTTAAGAATTACTGCTGAAATTGAAAGTCACTTGACCTACAGAGTTGAGAAGAAGCGAGGGGTGACTGCAATGCAAGCTACAGATGAAAAAGTAAGGTCCTTACCTAGGAGTGGACTGAAGGCTCACAAAACTCCCCAGAGCACTCAAAACTCACCTGAGGAATGGTGTCTACAATCGTGCCAAATGATTTGAGATTAGAAATGCTACTCTGACACATCTCTCTCCTCCAAAATGAGAGGTATGCTCAGAGGATCCCTACATCTTTCCCAGCTCTGGCAATGTAACTGAATAACCTAGAGCAGTGGTTCTCAACCTTCCTAATGCCGCGACCGTTTACTAAAGTTCCTCATGTTGTGGTGACCCCCAACCATAAAATTATTTTCGTTGCTACTTCATAACTGTAATTTTGCTACTGTTATAAATCACCATCAGAAATATGTTTTCCGATGGTCTTAGGCGACCCCTGTGAAAGGGTCATTGGATCCCCAAAGGCTCAAGACCTACAGGTTGAGAACCACTGACCTAGAGGATTAGGTATTTGTGGGATCTGTGTAATTAGCTGCCAGCTGTAGAGAATCAGCCTATAAGCATGCCCAGAGAATGAATGATTCAAAACAGCTGCTTAGTTTAGGCCTGTTTTAAGAGAATGGGTACATGGGGTTAGGGGGGGTAGTAGGAGGATTGCATTTACTCTGAACTACGGGTTTTCAAAATTCAATTTAAAAGCTCTCCAAATTTCTTAGAAGTGCCTCACATGATGAATTTAATACTTCAGGAAACTAGTGAACATCTGTGCATCTAGGTATGCCTTGGGCAAATCACAATCTCTCTAGGTCTCCACATCTTGTCCCAAACCAAGAGGACTGTTACAGATGCTTACTGAACCTTCTAGGCTCAGCATTGTATTAACGAGGTTTTCTAGATGTTTCTATTGAAAACACCCTTAGAGCAATTTGAGCCATTAACTTTTGTCTGCTACAGAACATTAAAGCTCCGGGGTCTTGTTCTAAAACTAACGTTGGCACACATTTCACCTAAAACAGATTCTGAAAATCCTTAGGAAGAAAACAAAAACATTTGTTTTGAAGTGGTTATGCAGCAATCTTTTATTTTTATCAATAGTGCGTTTCATTGGGCCTCACTGGACCAGGAATTACTAACTCACAGCACCTCTACAAAGCTGCATACCTTCTGTAGTGTTTAGATTTGATGTCCTGGTTTATAAAGCAGTCTAGGAAGCTTGTCAATTTTACTTTGTTGTTGTTTTTTGTCACCGAGGAACACTTCCACCCCTTCGCCCTAGTGAAGTGTCCCGATTCTACCTGTTTCGCCTCGCTACACACTATTTCAGACCTACAGCAAAGTCCAGCTCCAGCTGGGCAAGGTGAACAGGATGCACCACCTCTGTGAGATATTAAAGTTGATGTGAGTTGCGTTCTCACCCGGCTAGAGCCCAGCCCGCCGTGTGCCCTACAGCTGGGCCAGAGCTGCCGGGTCGGTCTCGGTCTCGGTCTCAGGTATGTCAAGCTGACAGCTTCTGCAAAGCCCAGCAGATGGGTCCGCTGCAACCCAATACCCAGCGGGCTAAAACACTGTCTTCCCTGCAAAGGTTCCCTTGCCCTCGAAGACTAACAAAAAGACAGAGTCCTGCGTTGAGCAGAGGAAGAGCGGACAGGTTCCCCCACAGCTCTCCCGGGAGAAAACCCCAAGAAGGAAGAAGTCGCAGGAGGCGTGCGGTCCTGCACCCAACTCACCTTCTGCTGCCTCCGGGCCATGTCTGTGGGCTGCTTGGCGTTGAAGGGGTACGCGATGCATCTCACCACGAAGACATAGAGCTGCAGACGGATTCTCCGCTCCTGCTCCTCGTCCAGCTGCCGTTCCGGTTCGTCTTGCCCCTCACTGATCACCGAGGGGCTCGGGCTCCTGGGTCTGACCGCGCCACCGCCGCCCGCGCGCCCCGGCGCGTCCCGCCGCCCTTCCCGAGCCGGCACCGGCAGCGCTCGCTGCGAACCACCGGCTGCGACCAGCACATTGCGGCTCTCCTCTTCCAGCCCCTCGTCCGACTCCTCTTCGCTGGAAGAAGGGTCCAGCATGGTGCTCGGGCCGCTCTGCCCGCGGTCCCCAGGTGCCTCACCCCTCGCGGCTGCGCCCGCCGGTCGAAAGGAGCCGCGCGGCCAGCAGCAGCGGCCACAGAACGAAAGGGAAACTGGCCAGGGCTTTCCGGACACGTCGAGTTAGATACGGGAGTGTTTCCTACCACCAGGGCGAAAGGGGAGGGCAGGCGCCGGGAGGAGGACGCGGCGGGGGAGAAGGGGAGCCGCCGGGATTAAATAGGCGGAGTTAGCGTTGGGGGTGAGCCCAAGAGCCTAGTGAATTAATCAGGCCAGCCCGGGGAGAGCCCACCCCGCGGTCCTTTAAAGCCGGCGGCCGGGGCAGAGCAGCCTGAGCGCCTGGGCTCAGGTGGGGAACCTGTGGCGCCTACAACAAGCAACACGTGGAATGGAATGTTAAGGAGCGGGCGCGGGGCCGCCGTGTGCGCGTGCGCGCGCGCGCCGCCGCCGCTACCGAACTCCGGTGCCCGGGTGCCCCGGAGCGCAGTTTGCAAAGGCGGGGAGCAGCTGAGCGCGTTGGCTCAGTGTGCAACCACCCGGGGCTGTTTGGGTTGCTTGGACTGCCGTGACCACCGCCACCCCCAGCCTTTCCTCTTGCAAGCTTCCTGAGGGTTAGGAGATGTGCCCCTTCCCCTGCCCCCCAGGTGAGGGAGCGGCAGAACCTCTCTCGGACCGAACCTAATACCCAGGTTTGAACTTGAGCACTGAAAAGTGGGGTCGGAGCTGTTTACCTCCAAATAACGTTGTGAAGAGAGTTTGAAAAGTCGCTCGCTCTGCTCTGTTGGTGTTTGATCCTCATGGTGAAGTTCAGATTATAAAAGTCAGGAACGTTCTTGAAAAGAAAAATAAAAAGCAAAACACGCTAGGCTTTTTTTTAGAAGAAACGGTTTATATTCCGGTAGACGCATGAAGCAAGATATTTTACATTTGTCAGATTGTACACTCATTCAGCTCCGGTATAACTCGATTATTTTCTGGGTTGTGATGTAGTTGACTCAAGACGGGTAATGCAGTGGTGTAGAGATGTGTACAACAAATATTTAAGTGTACGCTGGGTGTCCAGCACTGTTAAGTATTTGGATGATCCCGCGGCGCGCTGGGGCAACTCAGCACTTGGTCACTGTTGGTTTTGGCCTCAAGTGGGCGTCTCATAGCTGCCCCCGAAGCCTATCTTCAAAGATTTCTCAGGCCCAAGGCCAGAGTCACCTGGGAGGTTCTGTGATTTTGTTTACGTTCTTAATCCTAGCAGAGCAGGGAAATCCGGAAAACAGTGCATTCAATACAGGGTGCAATGTGCAGTGGACAAGCTGGCAGGGAAGTGATAAAGCTCTGTGGAAGTATCACCAAGCAGATGGAATTACTGGCTCTGAATTTGTCTGCCCCATGGCCAAATAGCAGTTTTAGCTTTTTCAAACCACTTTCATAGTTAAGTAAACAAGAGAGAGGCTTTCCTTCTGTATTTAGTGACATTTTCCCTAGATGGGATAAAAAGACAAGAAGGCATTTACTCCTTGTCAATGTATCAGTCTTTAATGGGTGCTCGCAGTGATAAAAGGTGTTCATTGAGGGCATGACTAATCTCCAACTACCAAGGAATAGGAAATCTCAAAAACTGATTGATTGATGTATTTAAAGACTGTCATTTCTAGCAAGGTAAAAATTAATGGCAAATTTATTCATGTAAGTCATAGTATCTAGTGCTTATATACATAGCACTTCATAATTTGAAAAGTTTTGTGTACGTAGGTATATAATAAAGTCACCAAAGTACCTTTTGAGAAAGGTGATGATGATGATGATGACAATGACAAATTACCACTTGCATGCTTTATACCAGGTATTACACTAATCCCTTTACATAATCTAATTTATTTTTAGCTCCATTGTACAGATAAGGAAACTGAGATTTAAAGAACCTTCTTCCTACAGAACTAATTAATGGAACAGGGACTCAACATAGTAAGTCAGTTCTAGTTCCAAATAGTGGCTTCTACTACTACAATTTGTCTAATCATAAATCAGTATATTATATGTATGATGTTTATTAAACTGGTAACTAAAATAATTTCGTTCATAGGGACATAAAAGTGCAGTTGAAATATAGCGTCTTTATTGCCCTTTCTTTTCTTGCCAAGGAAAGATATATTTTTTATTTTCCTTTATTAATTAGTTAATACTGCTTGATATGATGGCTTGTTATTCTCTTTCTATCGAAATGGTTATCAAATTAAAGACTCTCCAAGCCTTGGGAATCCCCCTGGAAAACATCTAGTAATTTTTAGAATAAGATATACAGAGTTTTCTCTATGAAGGTGAAAATGGTTTAAGAAACATAAATTAAAGATATATCCAAAAGACAACAAAGAGAATGTTAAGGCCCTGGCTGGGTAGGTCAGTTGGTTAAAATGTCCTGATATGCCAAGGTTGCCAGTTTGATCCCCAGTCAGGGCACATACAAGAATCAACCAATGATTACATAAGTAATTGGAACAACAAATCATTGATGTTTCTCTTTATCAATTCCTCTCTGTCTCTAAAATCAATAAAAATTCAAAAGAAGAGAATGTTTAAGGATTTCATTAATTAAACATGCATTGGTTAAGAAACTAACATATGTTAAAACTATGGTATACCTGAAGTGAAGTGTACACACAGAGATAGGGGGAGATGAAAGTACAAAACAAGCCGAGGCAAATTCAGCATTGAGCGGGACAGTGGGCAGGCATCTGTGGCCTTGTATGTCATGCTTTGGAATTTAACCATATCCTAAAGAAAATGGGGATACACATAAAGGTTTAAGTGAGATGATCTGTAACTCTTAAGAGTCAATCTGGAGCAATGTAAGAGCAGCGAAATCAGAGGCAAGATACCAAGAGATTACTAAGGAAATCTTGGAGAGAAACAATGAGGGCTTGAATTTAAGACAGGAGACAAAGGGAGAAGGAAATCTTAAAAGATGAACAAATGAATAGCATCATCTATGAGAATTTGAGGAAGAGGGTCAAAGGTAGAATATGATTCCCAGGATAAGATAACTTGACTGAAAATAGATGAAATACGGACTTCTAGAAGATAACTAGGTTTGGAGAAATAATCAAGTTTTGAGAAGTTTATCAAAGAGATCCTAATGGCTGTTGGAAATACCAATGTGTTACTCAAATCTGACTAAAGGGATCATCGTCAGCATATGGGTGGTAGTTGAAGCTACAGACATAGATGATAATAAGGTCCTGAGGTCCTGTGTTCAGAGTGAGAAGAGGAAGAATGATGGGTCTCTGACAACCCCTTTCTGCCTCTCCAATTTGGGATGGAACCCAAAAAAACAAACAAACTACAAAAAAAAACCCTGATCATTAAAAATTAATTATGCTCTAATAATTTCTAATTAACAATTTCAATTTTGCATGTACACTAATGTTCTTGCCAAATTTCTATGAGCAATATTAGCTTTTCAAGTAATTATAACATCAGTTGATGCTCTGGGATAACTGAATAAATGATGCCCAACATAAGATTGTGATTGGTTTGTACATTTCATGAATACATGAAATACAGTGGAATTTAGTCAATGATTCATTTTTACTTTTGTGAAGGTGAGCATAAAAGCAAATGGAAGTTATACTGCTTTTTAATGAAACACCTCTAATGTTAGTAAAAGATGAATGCATGGTAATAAAATAGAATATAAATGTGTTTTGGCAATGATATTTAAGGAAACAGGTGTGTGACCTGAATAGCTATAGGTGGTCTGTTTTCTGGTTGAGAATTGATTTGTTCATTTGACCTGAAAGGAATGTATTAACTCTTTCAAGTCACAGATGAAATAATTCTTTCATTGAGCAGGCATTGTTTGGGTACCCACTCTAGGCTATACAGTATTCTAAGTAGATAAAAACAATAAGAGTTTGTCCTTGAGGGGATGAATATGAAACAGACATGAGCAAAATAAAAAATTATAGTAATATATACCCTTATAGTAATAGAGAACATAATTCACAGAATACCCCTTAACTGTTTTGGAAGTGGGCAATGCACTATCTTTTGTGGTATAGTTATAGTTAAAATTATATTGCTACAGAGAGAAGAATCTTTTCAGGTCAATTGGAAAGACCGGTTTTGCAAATATGTATTGGAAAACTGTCAACTCACAAACCCAGCTAATGAGAGGAGTATACAGCCCAACTAGGGTCGCTCAGTGGTTGAGCATCAGCCCATGTACCAAGAGGTTACTGGTTCAATTCCTGGTCAGGGGACATGCCCATGTTGTGGTTCAAATCCCCAGCAGGGGACATGCAGGAGGCAGCCAATTGATGTTCTCTCTCATTGATGTTTCCATCTCTCTCTCCCTCTCCCTTCCTCTCTCACTAAAATCAATGAAAAGAAAAAAAAAAAGAGTATGCATTTAGGAAAGTAAGAGAAAAACAACAATTTTTTATCTTATGAGGCAATAATTCTCCTAGCAAGCACATTTAAATCCCCTTCTTCCTCTTGCTCAAGTTTTTTCTTTTTCTCCTCTCCAGTTATAATTTGAGTGCTATCAGAGAACGGCCTGGGACCCTAACTTTTACAGATAATAGGTAAAAATATATGCAGATAATCAGTACAAATTGATCAGTAAATGAGTGGTGCACATTGATTCACAGACACACAGACACATGATACAGTCAAAGGACTGTTATAAGAATAAGAAAATAATGCATGCAAAGTACTGAAAGACCATCATCTGGTTAAAGTCTCAGCAAGTGCCAAGTATTTTGCTATTATAACTGCTTTATCATTTAGCTCACTTTTAACCAGAGAACTCTAGAGACAAATTAGTAAATGGTTCTATGCATTTATTTATTGGATTTTACATGTTAGAATTTGTATTTCTAAATTATTTGCCTTGAAACAGTCAGACCTAAGAAACTTCCAAATATAGGTTGTTTTATTCAGATCTCAAAAATTTCATAATTTTTATAAAAAGGTTGACCCCACACAATAAGAAGCTACTTCCCTTCTGTTCCTATTCAATCTTTGAGTATTCATTAATAATTAATAACAGTTTTGTTCTTTAATTTTCCATTTTGTGAGAAATTGGGAGGAAGTA